CAGAAACGTTATTTCTCAACATAGGCTCCATCAAGGTCAAGATACTTTGTAAGTGATGACACCAGCCATGTAGTCCATCCCTAAAGAACTGAGGGTCCTGGGAATTTAAACATGTCAGTGCAGTCTTTTTTACACTATTAACTGAAGAAAAATGGGTGCCCTTTAAAGATTAGGAAAGAAAAATAAGTCAGAAGGAGGCAAATCAGGAATGTAAGGTGGATGTCTAGTGATTTCTCATCGAAACTCTTGCAGAATTGGCCTTATTTGATGAGAGGAATGAGCGGAAGCATTGCTGTGGTGGAGGACTCCCTGGCAAAGCTTTCCAGGACATTTTTCTGCTAAAGCTGTGGCTAATTTTCTCAAAACATTCTCATAACAAGCAGATGTTACTGTTCTTTGGCCATCCAGAAAGTCAACAAGTAAAATGCCTTGCCTGTTGCCCTGACCTCTGCTCTTGGCCAGTCTGCTTTGCTTTGACTGAACCACTTTTGCCTCCTGGTAGTCATTGCTTTGATTGTGCTTTGTCTTCAGGATGGTAATGGGAAATCCATGCTTCATCTCTTGTTACAATTCTTCAAAGAAATGCTACAGAATCTTGATCCCATTTGGTTAAAATTTCCATCAAAAGCTCAGCTTTTGTCTGCAGCTGACCTGGGTGCAACAGTTTTGGCACCCATAGAGTGCAAAGTTTGCTCAATTTTAATGTCTCAGTCAGAATTGTGTAAGATGAACCAGTTGAGATGTCTATGGTGTTGGTTATTGTCTGTACTGTTAATTGCTTGTCCTCTTCTATTAGGGCATGAACAAGATAAATTTTTTCATCACACCTTGATGTGGATGGTTTGCCACGGTGGGCTTCATCTTAAACATCATCTCATCTATTCTTAAAATGAGTTATCCACCATTTGTAAACTGATTTCTTTAGGGCACTGTTTCCATAAACTATTCATAAAGCATCAATGATTTCACCATTTGTCCACTCAAACTTCATAAATTTGATGCTTGCTCTCATTTCAATTTTAACAATTTTTGTTGCTCTGATAGAGGCTCTTTTCAGGCTGATGTCTTATCCTTTTTAGTGCCTCAAACTAGATCCTGTTAAGACAGGTTATAACAAATTAGTATGAGTTTATGTTGATGCAAAACATTTTTGAAATCCATGTATAGTTTTTTCATAATATGTATGTCCATGAACTTCTTGAAGCTATTTTTTTTTCCTCCCCAAAATGTTGCAGCATGCAGTGGGATTATAATCCACCAGTATGTATATAGAAAAGCAAGACAAAACTATCTTCTCAGGACACTGCAGACAGCTCTGCCATGTGACACCTCCCTTCATATCAAGATTAGGACTCCTTTTCTTCTAGAAGAGTCCAGCAAGTTTCTGCATTTGCACTTCTGGAGTCACAAGGCTGCAGATGAATTATGAACACAACATGAGGTAGTGCCTGCCCAGGGCTGTCCCAGCTCTCTAGATAACCATTGCTTCACCTTCCCAGGGTGAGCCTGGGCTAGGCCATGCTGACCTTGATCAAAGGTATCAAGGAGATGTGAAGTTTTAGATTTTCTAGGGGAATCTGCATCCTTCATCTAAGTAGTGACATTCTGTCTGCCCTCTCCCCCAGGATCAGAAGCCCTTCCTCTGTTTCAGGATCCCCTCTTACCTGATGAGGCAGTCCCACCACCCCATTCAAAAAGCAAAGAGGCCAGCTGCTGGCTTTTCTAGCCTCCCTTGCAGCCAGAGCAAGGCATGTGACCTGGCAGAGCCAATCAGGCATGTCTTACATGTTAGAAGCTTGTGCCTCAGGGAATGGGCTACAGAGAAATATTTCTGAAGCCTTGGCAGCAGGCAGGCCCACTTTGGGAGGTAGCATTGGGTATGCCTCCAGGGCCAGTCCAGCATCCAGTATTGGGGTGTGGGCAGCACCCAGTTCCATCTCTCATCTTCATGAGCCTAGTCCTGTAGACTGCTCTTGGCGGTTCCTATTTGGCCTCTGATCCCAGTTCTCTGGTTTCTTAAAGCTGCCCAATATCTGGCTCATTCATTCCTGTGGGCTTACGTTAGCTAGTCAGGTTCTGAAGCTCTGAAACAAGAACCCTGAGATCTGAGTATCCAGCCAAGATGAGGACTCCCAGATGGGGCACCAAGCATCACCAGCTGATATTCATGCGTATGTCATCTTTAACTTAGTGAGCTGAGTGAGAGGGTGAGGCACTGGGCCAGGCCTAGGTACTGGGGACAGAAAAATTATCAGGATGTGTATTAAGGCAACCTAGGGAATGAGGAGACAACGGAGCAAACAAATGATGAACTGAGATGATGGCCAGCCTTGGTTCTGAGTGACTTCCCTGTAAGGCTGGTTACTGCAGGCGATGTGCTTGTTCTGTTACTGTTTAAAGATGGCAGGTGCTCAAGTACCTTGGGGTGCTACAGGAATGATCCAGTGGAGAGAAAGCGATGATTATGATGGAAGGAAAGTTCTTGAAGAAGTGAGAAGGAACTGGGATCTACAGCCAGGAGTTTGGGTTGGCCTGTGACAAGAAGGCAACAACAGAGATGTAGCTGGGAGCATAGTTTGGGTGGAAAGGGGAGATTGTTCCCATCAGATAGCTTTCACTTGATTTTAATTTCCTGGCTAGTTTATCAATTCCACCATCAATTTTTTTTTTTTTTTTTTTTTTTTTTAAGAGACAGGGTTGGTGGGGCGTGGTGGCTCACACCTTTAATCTTAGTACTTTGAGGCTGAGGTGGATCACTTGAGGCCAGGAGTTCAAGACCAGCCTGGCCAACATGTGAAAAAACCATCTCTACTAAACATACAAAAATTAGCTGGGCGTGGTGGCACACACCTTTATCCCAGCTACTCAGGAGGCTGAGACATGAGAATTGCTTGAGCCTGGGAGGCAGATGCTACAGTGAACCAGGATAGCACCACTGCACTCCCCGCTTGGTGACAGAGCGAGACCCTGTCTCAAAAAAAAAACAAAAACAAAAAGAGAGAGAGTCTTGCTGTGTCACCCAGGCTGGAGTGCAGTGGCGCCATCGTGGTTCATTGCAGCCTCGATTTTCTGGGCTCAGGCGATCTTCAGCGTCCCAAGTAGCTGAGACCACAGGCACTCGCCACCACGCCCAGCTAATTTTTATGTAGAGATAGGGGTCTCACCATGTTGCTCAGGGTAAAAAACTTTTTAGTAGCCTACTAATTTGCCCCATTTCACAGTAAGATATCATCATGTGCAGGTGTGTTGTTACGAAAGAACGCATACACCCAGCTGTTTTGTTTCCCCCAGTGTCTCAAGATAAGTACCTTTTGCATAATAACTCTGTTCCTAACCAAAGCCTCCATTCTCCAGAGTATTTGTTTCACGTTCTAGCTGAAGGTTGGTCCTACAGATAACATCCTCCCTCCCCATACCCACCGTTCCTTCTCCACATTATCCTCCAGATGGAACTTCTTGCCTTGCTTCCCATGCTGTGGATGAGACACTTCAGAGACAAAGGACCCAGACTGGACAAAAACTGGCTCAGTCATCTTTTTTAAGGGCACAAATCTGTTCTCCACCCCCTCCTACCCTTTTCCTGTACTTCACAAGGGACTTCCAGGTTTCCACCAGACACCCATCGTCATCAGTCAGCTTCCAGAGAGAGTTTGTGCACAGAGAGCTTTCTGCGAACACAAAGAATGTTCTCTGATATCCTTTTGAAACAGCACCAAGATGGGGCAATTTAAAAAAAAAGCGAGATCTCTGTTTAGTGAGCTGAAACTTAGATTCCTAAAATAAAGGAGGAGCTTCAATGGACAGGGGAAACCTTTTGAGACTCACTGCAGGGAAGGGTTCCATCCATCTGAAGATTTAAGTTATATAAATTCTGGCAATCGTGGTCCCAATCAAGTTTCCTTTATATCACGAAGAAACCCATTTAGAGCTAGTCATATGGCATTCTTAGGGGAGCCACCAAAGCCACCCGCCACACATGCATTTATCCTGGGAACTCTGCTGCACGCTTTGTGGTCTGCCCGTTTCCATGCGGTTCTTCCCGAGGTGTCCCAGGGTTCTGCAGTACCCCCCAGCGTGCCCCACATCCACCACCTGGCAATACACTTGCTCCACTTGGCAGGGCCTAAGAGAAAAATGAAAATGAGCAGGTGAACCCCAGAAAACACCGGGAGATGGGATAGGTTTTTCTCTAAAGGTGACAATTGCTCATATAATATTCAGCCTTCAGTTGCCAATTCAAGACCTGAATTTGGGATTTGGTCCCTGCAAAAATCTGGATCACCAGTGAAGGCCACAGGCATGCTTGGATCTTTCCCAGGGAATCACCACAGAGGCCTCTACACCCCCAGCCATCTGCTTTGTCCTAGTGCGGAACAAGCAGGATTCGAGGGAAATGACACTGTGACTTTGTCTGGCGCTCATCTGCAAAGTGAAACCTTAGACTAACAGTAAGGCCATCTCTTCGCCTCCTGGAATCTACAGCCTCCTTCAAAGAATGCAGATAGCAATATCCATTCACTAATTACATTATTTAACAGCCACCTCTTAATGAAAGCAGCATAAATGAAGACATGGACAGAACAAATGTCGATAAATGTTTGCCACATGTTGGTTTGCACCATGCAGACGTCCATGTCCAAAGTCGCCCCATCCTGATAGGTTCTGCAAATTACTCAGGGCTAATTCGGGAACTCAAACTCCCTGTCAATCAATCCGCTGAGAGAATATTTATTTGCTTTGACTTTTTCCAACAGCCAGCCTGAAAGGAGACACACTAAAAAGCACGCTCCCTGGACAGAACCACCCTTCAGAATAGCAGGTGGCTGCTGTGACCGCCATGTCACTGCATTCTGCCCCCAGCTCCCTATCTCACACAGCAATCCTAAACAGAGGCACTCAAGGTAATTCCTTCTGGAGAAAATACAGAGCTCTTCAGTCATTCAGTCAACGTGGGCCCGAGAGTTCCATGGCGAGAGGAAGAAAGCACATCCACCAAGTTCTCTAATATCAAAATAGAGCAATTTATTCAAGACACTGAATATGATCTGTTGATTCTCTCTTGAAACAAATGAGCTACAACACGCAAGGTGATTTTTTTTTTTCTTCAAAGAGCGTGAGGGTGAGTACAGGCGGCGGGGGGAATGAAACGGTGGTCGATGTCATCTGAACAGAATAGGAAAAATGCCGATAGAGAACACGTCTGGCTGTACGTCTGACACAGACAATAAAAACTGCACAAGCCAGAATGCAAAACTTCAGTGAGTGGCGGAAGGAACATTTCTGCATTTGACAAGAAACATAAGCTTTTTTTTTTTTTTTTTTTAAATGGCAGAACAAAAGGTTACAAAAGAGAAAAGCAACAAGAACAAAGCAGACCCTTACATTTGACAAAGTGCACTTCACTTGGCTCTATGATCTATTTCTTAGAAAGACTAAACAAAAGTCAAGTCCTACGGTGTCGCGAGGGGTCAGAGGGTTTCACCCTGTAACGTCCGGCCCTTTTGGTCCCCCTTGGGGCAGCATCCCTTTCCCAGGTGTGTGCTGGACCTGACTCTCGGTCACTTTGAACCCAACCAAAGACTCCAGGAAGGTCTGTCATGCTATGTCTGCTTTCAAGGTCAAGTTTGGTCACTAAGACTTAGGCATTCCTCACCATGTTTTAAGAGCTGTAAACAACATTGAACAATAACATTCCACAGGCCATTTCTTGATTACAGGGATGACTCTATCAACATTCCAGCAGCAGAGAGGCTAAGTAGTGGTGTGCAAACGCTGGAGGCTCCGGAAACGGCTGTCCATGGTGTCATCCTGCTGAGAACGGGGATGGATGTGACTGCTAGCTGCATCTCATGCTTGATTTTGCTTGCAGCTGCAGGCTGGGGAAGCCAGGGATGGAGCCTGGGGTCCGAGGCCTCCCAGCCCAGGTTTCTACCTAACAATTCCAACGTGGTTTACATTCATCAAGACTAAACCCATCCCTTGGGAGAGACCCTGGCTACCGACATTCATGTGAAGATTGTCTAGTGAATTGTTTGCAACACATCCCACCGTCACCATCCCACAGTTGTTTCTGGTTTGTCAAGCACAAGCCATGTCTAATGACAGGCTGGCCTGTGACAGCAGATGCTCTGCAGAGATGAGTGCGTTCGGACCCCAACAAACTGTACCCTAAACTTCACGGAGTCCTTGGGATGGGAAATCACCTCATCCGGGGACACCGGCTATCTTCAAAGATGGGGGCGGCAACTCCACATCACTGTGACCCTCTTTGCTAAGCGTTTCAGAAACAGCCCGAATAAGATACTCATCTCAGAACCAGGGCACTTTTTGGTCTTCTGGGGCATGAATAATTCACAAACCCAAGTGGAGGCCAATCAATGATCTGAGAATGATCGACGCAACCTGGCTTTTGCAGGTGGTCCTGGCACATTCCAAGTTCCACAGGAAGCCCTGACCCTTCCCTGACGGCTGGGTTTTGGCTCTGCAGATGGATGCCACCTTCACAGTAACACCATCTCGCTGCTGGAACACACACTAGATTGCACCCTACCCACTGCTGGTGACACAGCAGCCCCCACGGGCCGGGACAGCTTCCTCAGCCCTTCTGCCCACAGGAAAACCAATGGGAAAAGAGGCCCTTGTCCTTCGGCCTTTTCCCCCTTGCTCATGAAAAAAATAAGTCAGTGTCGGGTTATGACAGCAAGCAGATGAAGGTCACCAGATTCACTGAAATGAAGCTCTTCTAGGAACACAAAGCCTTGTTTAATTTTTTAAAAACAGCAAAAAGATCGATTATTTAAAAAAAAAGATCTTTCTCCTAGTCTTCTGTGAGAGAAAGAAATTATAAAGATGGCAGAAATTATTAGCGACGTTCTACCTCTATAATTCATGTTCGGAACTGAAAATCTTCCTTCTGCCTTCGTTTCTGTCAGCGTTAGACGAAGTGACATGCGGGGGCCTCTATGTCAGCTCTGCAAGGACTTGCCAAGCCTGCTCTTCGAGAAATGATCATCGGTCGTTATACGGCTGTGGGAAAGACGTAGCCAACACGCCTAATCCAGCCGAGCTCTTCACGGCTTTCCTGCTGGCTGCCAAGGTGCGTACACACCAAAAGATGCAAGGTTCTTCTTCCAGGCGGCGTGGCTGGGACCTCCCTCACTGGCTGCAGTGCAACCTCGCTGCTGACCCCTAAGGCTGACCGTTGTCCAGCCAGAGTCCTCCTGACCACGTTTCCTGAGGCTGAGGGGAAAGCCAGGGGCTCCCTCAGGCCCTGCCTGTGGCTTCTTCAGTTCTTTTGAAAACATGAATCACACAAAGCTCTCTATGTCTGATGGCCATTTTAAGATTTTAAAACTGTTTTAACATAAAAATATTTTTTTTCCAAAAATACTCCAGGCTCTTTCTCTTATAAGTCATTTTTTTCCTCCTGTAAAAAGCCCCCTGCCCTGCCTTCTTACATAAAGCACTTACTACGCGCCAAAGTGCCCTTGAGACCTAAGATCTGAAGCAACTATGAGAAAGGTATGGGGTGGGTGGGGAGAGACGGCGAGCACGCCAGTGAGAAAGCGAGCGCGAGCGCGAGGGGAGGAGAGGGTGGGAGAAGGCGGAAGGGGGAAAGCTGTCCATGGGAGACTGTGTCTTCATGTGAATTGGGCTGCGTCTCTTGAGGCTGCACTGAAAAAGCAGAGCTGACCAGAGTGGAAAGGCAGGGGTAGGGGCAGGGAGCAACACAGGGAAGAAACAACAAGCCCAAGACAGCTTCATCTCAGACGGAAGGCCCCCAGAAGATAGAATTCCAGCCGATAGAAAAACCACCCAATGAACAAAGAAGATTCTAGAAAATAGAAAGTGTTGGGATTACAAAGTTACACATGTCATCGGTACAAACTGGTCTTTGAACATCCTTTGTGAGAGCAACTGTAGTGTCCAAATTGTTAGGGAAAACAAAAAAAAAATCCCAAGGAGGAGGGTTTCCCCCTTCCCTGTTTGGTTTATCACAGCATTTTGCTTTTTTTTTTTGGCACAGCTTTTTACATTTCTTTCCATTCAGCCATCACAGAGCCTGTTCCGGGTGGAAACCAATCCACACGCCTCGAGCTGGTGACTTTCTGCTTCCCAGGCTGAATATCCTCAGTGGAAACCATTCTCTCCCCGTGTGATATGATTTGCTTCTGTTTTTGCTTGCCTTTAAAAAACTTCTTGATGAAGATTACGAAAACATATAGACTCCTGCGGCCAGAGACGAGTTGGTTTCAGAGTATACTGTAACGCAAGTCAAGTTCGTACAGTTTTGGAGAACAGAGCTGCAACCCTACACATTCATGGCTGGTCATTAGAATTCTTTTCTGTTTTCGATGGTATTTTGTGATTACTTCCGCAGATCCAAAACGCAAACCTGGAAGGAAAACACATAGCACCTGTCATCTCGAGAGACAAAACAAAGATGCCCTTAGAGTGAGAAGTTGGCAAGCTACGGTCCCCATGCCCAACCTAGCCCTCCACCGATGTTTCTCAGTAAAGTTTATTGGAACATCGTCATGAAGGGTCAGAGAAGCTCTCATAGCAGACTGGCATCTGGACATTGGACCGAGCAAACTGAAGCAAACAGCACAGAGCAGAAAGGCCAGGTTAAGGGTAATGACAGGAATTAACAGAGTGGCAGAGACCATCGTGGGGCAGATGACAACACGAGCCCAAGTATACGGCCTCTGACAACATTTGGGGACTACACTGACACTTGGCCAGTCAGCCAGAAGGCCGCTTGCCCCAGAGGTCAGGGCAACCTCAAGTCCAGGGGAAAATAAGAAATCCAGATGCCCCATGGGAGGAGAGGAGAGCCCAGGAGACCTGCAGGATGGCCACCAGAGGCCCGGGCTCGTCAGCCGCAGCATGGGTGACAATTGTGGCCACCCTATGCACGGTAGGAGGTTTAGCAGCATTGCTAAGCTCCACCCACGAGATGCCAGTGGCATCCCCATCTAAGCACAGTCATGTGCCACATAATGACGTTTCCAGCAACAATGCACCGCACAGAAAGCAGTGGTCCTGTAAGACTGTAACTCTTATTCCTGCTGAACCTTTTCTATGTTTAGATAGATCTAGACGCACAAATGCTTACCATTGTGTTCTAGTTACCTACGGTATTCAGTATGGCCACCTGCCGTCCAGGTTTGTAGCCTGGGAGCAATAGGCTCTACCATACAGCCTAGGTGTGTGACAGGTATTGTCATCTAGGTTTGTGTCAGTCACTCTGTGATGTTCAGACCAAGATAAAAGTGCCTAATGACACATTTCCCAAAATATTCCCATCATTAAGCAACACATGACTGTAGTGACAACCTCAAATGGCTCCAGATATTGTCTAATGTCCTCAGAGGTGCAGAATCACCCTGGATGAGAACCAACAATTTGACTGAGAAAATGTTGACTAGAAGGACATTCTGGAAGGGACAAAGAGAAGGCCTTTCCCAGATGTGGTACCAACTCAGATGGGATCCAGCCCAGAAGCTTCCTCTGGCACTGGGCTAGGCCCTTCAGGACACGAACGCTGCACACGCCCTCGAAGCTCACTTCGGCATCAGCCGCCCCCAACACCCCACTCTCCAGCAAACCAGAGGTGTTGCTTACAGAGCCGTCGGATGCGCTGGCGCCCACTTTGTCTCCTCGGGCGTTCCAGCACACTTCGAAGATGCCGCCAGTGCCTCGGTAGCTGTGGACGAGATTTCCACTCTGCAAAGCAAAGCAGCTGTCACTTACAATGATGCAAGGGGCGCCTGCGACAGATGCAGTTGTAGAATGTGTGCTGCTCCTGCCCTGGTGTTTGGTCATGAACATTTTCAAGAATGGTAAAATTTAAGGGTTTTCAGTAAGGACTCTGGGGGCTGTGGAGATGTATCTCTAGGACTTCCCACCACAGGGAGTAAACCTGATTACTTATGCCTGTGGCATCTGCCACCACATGTGCGTGGATTCTGAGGTTGCGCCCAGCTGAGGACTGACGGAGGCAGGAGACCATGGCAGTCATCTGCTGAGACTCAGACTCATCTGGTGGGTAAGTGGCTCATGGACTCTCCATCAGCATGGCCAAAACTTTCTACCAACCTGTAGGGCCATCCCTGACTCTTCCTACCCTTCCCGTCTCCTTCCCAGGGTCAGACTGGCCTTATGGTCTGAATTCTCCCTTCCCCCTACCTCCCTCCCTGTTTCCATCACAGCTCCTCAATAAATCTCTTGCCTATCTAATCCTGTTTTGGTGTCTGTTCCTTGGAGGACCTCAATGAATACAACGTAATGAATACCCCCACCCCAGTAGCAATGAAATTGACTATAATTCACGATTACATGTATTAATACACCAAGATGTTAAAATGTACCTATTTTGGGACATTTGAAAGAACAAATGCATAATATACATGTAATGGAAAACACCACAGACCATTGGTTTCTGGTTTAAAACAGCATTAACTTAACAAATCTAAGAGGTAGGGGAAGTAGAGGCCTTTGAAAGAGTTGAATAAGGCCAGGCGAGGTAGCTGACCCTGTAATCCCAGCACTTTGGGAGGCCGAGGCAGGAGGACTGATTGAGCCCAAGAGTTCAAGACCAGCCTGGGCAACATAGAGAGACTTCGTCTCTACAAAAATTAATTTTAAAAAATAAAAAAGAGAGAGAGTCGAATAAGCCTTCACTCATGATTCACTAATGGTGACAGGCAGGAGAAATCTGAGGACTGAGACCAGGAGGGCTGTTGCAAATCCTCTGCTCAACTGGGCTCCTTAAAGGGTGGTGTTCCATGAACGGAGAAAGGTGTATGTCAGCAGTATTATAGATAAGTATTTTTATACTTGGAGAAAGATTAAAGTGGGCTTTAAGATTTCCCTTAAGAAAAATCCTAAGGATTTCTTGGCCCGGCACGGTGGCTCATGCCTGTAATCCCAGCACTTTAGGAGGCCGAGGTGGGTGGATCACCTGGGGTCAGGAGTTCAACACCAACATGGTGAGACCCCGTTTGTACTAAAAATACAAAAGTTAGCCGGGTGTGGTAGTGTGCGCCTGTAATCCCAGCTACTCGGGAGGCTGAGGCAGGAGAATTGCTCAAACCTGGGAGGCGGAGGTTGCAGTGAGCCAAGATGGCGCCACTGTACTAAAGCCTGGGTGACAAGAGTGAAACTCCGATCCAAAAAAAGAGAAAAATCCTAAGGATTTCTTTGATTTATAAAAAAGGGTTGAAACAATTCAGTGAGTTCTTGATAACAGGCTGTACCTACCTGATCATGTCATTTTTTTTTTGATAATTGATGTGTTGTTTTTACAAATCCATCCATTACTATTTCTAGCAAGGATTTCATGACCAGAGACTCTTGCACACTAGTCCTGAGATGTGCGCTTCCTGGAGGGCTATCTAGGGCTGTGGGGCTGGGCTTGGCATCGGGTTGGCTCTACGCAGGGTCCACCATTTCCTTTCCTTCCCTGAGAGGATGTGGTTCACATGAGGTCCCTGGGAAGCCTGTGATCTCAGTGGACCACTTGCCAGTGAACAGGGCTCATCACCCATGAGTCCACAGGGGGAATGAACTTGAGGATGTAAATCCACCTGAATGTCAACCAAGCCAAAAGGAATCAAGAAGGCAGTGCAGATGAAAGGGGACGGGGGCAGGCTGTGTGATTCCTCCCTCCTGAAGCGAAAGGGACCCCTTCATTGTTTTCAACAGCTCCTAGCGTATCATCACCTCTCTCTCTTCCCTTAGAATAGAATCAAGTGCTGATGGCCCTATATAATCTTTTACGCTATGCAGTGCTACTTCCCATCCATTTCTACACTTTACAGCTTGAATTCTTCCATCCTCAGGTGTGACCCAAGATACCCACAGCAGCCACCTTTATTTAAATCCTATGTCCTTTCAATCTCTGCTAAAAGGACAACCCAATATTGACATACCTTATGTCCTTAAACAGAACCTACTTTGATTTGAAAAATCGAGGTTGAGCGCAGTGGCTCACACCTGTAATCCCAGCGCTTTGGGAGGCCAAGGTGGGCGGATCACCTGAGGCCAGGAGTTCAAGACCATCCTGGCCAACATGTGAAACCCTGTCTCTACTAAAAATACACAATTTAGCCAGATATGATGGCGGGTGCCTGTAATTCCAGCTACTCGGGAGGCTGAGGTAGAAGAATCGCTTGAATCTGGGAGGCAGAGGTTGCAGTGAGCCAAGATCGCGCTACTGCACTCCAGCCTGGTTAACAGAGTGAGACTCCGTTTCAAAACAAAACAAAAAACAACAACAACAACAAGAAAACAAAACAGAAAAGAAAAATAGAAATGCCATGACAACAGCAAGCGCACATTCCTTCCCACTCCCTGGTCTGCTCCGTGGGGGAGCTGCAGGAGCTGGTGCGGGCAGAGGAGGTGGAGCTGGCCTCGACCCCATTAGCTGGTCCCCCACTCCCACCCTCCAGCCTCAGTATCTAGAGAGCAGCATTTCAGTGATAACTGCTAAGAAGAGGAAGAGGCAGGTGGAAGGTTTCATGCCATGGACTCAGAAAAGTGAACAGAAGACAGTGGCTCCTTCAAGGAAGAACATGTGCCAAGGTGAGGGTTTGGAATCAAATGGCCAAGAGCCCTGATTATGGCAGACATGATGCCCTGCCTCAGGGAGGGGAGCTGCTGGAGGTGTCTGGTGGGGGAAGAGCTCACAGCCCACGTGGGGTGCACGGTGGACAGCATCCACTGGGTCTGCCCGGGGAGCCTGGGCTTGCTCAACTCCCTCCGAGGCACTGCTCTGAAGCAAGGCACTGGAATTGTGGCTATTTGGGCATCCCTTACTGAAAGGATTTGGCATAGGGGTCAGGAGCTTACCTGAGTATTCCAGATATGGACGCATTTGTCAAAGGATCCGCTGGCCAAGTACTTCCCATCAGGGCTGAAAGCTACGCTGTAGACGGGCTCCTGATGCTTCGTGAGCGTGTGGGTGCAGACGCCTCGCTCTATGTCCCACAGTCGCACCGTAGAATCAAACGAAGCACTAGCAAGGCAGGAGAGAAAGCAAAATCACGTACACATGGTGGTTTCAAACAGTTCTCCATAACATGTATCACATCTCCGGGAGCTGTTTTTCCCAGCTTTTATGTTTCAAAAGACAATCAACTGAGGAGCTTTTTGTCTTCTAAAATATAACTTCCAAATATGAAAAACAAAGCCATAGTCATTAAACAGAAAAAAGCTTTAATGGTCGTATTAGGGAAACAATTTGATATCTACATTTGTTTCCGCCTTTTATTTTTTTGAAATGGGGTCTTACTGTGTTGCCCAGGCTGGAGTGCAGTGGCACGATCATGACTCACTCCAGCCTCGAACTCCTGGGCTCAAGTGATCCTCCCGCCTCAGCCTCAGCAGAGAAGCTGCAACCATGGGTCCACGCCCAACTAATTTTTATTTTTTTATTTTTTATAGAGACGGGGTTTCACTATGTTGCCCCGGCTGGTCTTGAACCTCTGGGCTCAAGAGGTCCTCCTGCCTCACCCTACCAAACTGTTGGGATTACAGGTGTATGCCACTGTGCCCAGCCCTGTTTCTATGTTTTCTATAGACATAAATGGTAAATATTTTTGTAGAATATTTACCAAGTTTCCTAAAATGCCCCTACAATGTAAAACATGACATCTGTTATTACTAACTAAATTAATACAGATAGCCATATTTGGAAAAACAGCAAATTCAGTGAATAAACATTTAAAAAACTTTTTAGGCCAGGTACAGTAGACCATGCCTGTAATCCTAGTGCTTTGGGAGGCCGAGGTGGGAGGATCACTTGAAGCCAGGAGTTCAAGACCAGCCTGGGTAACATAGGGAGACCCTGTCTCTAAAAAGAAAAACAAAGATTTAATCAAACAAGAATTAAAATATAATCACACCCACATATGTAATCACATGATTGAAAGCTGCAAATTTTAGTTATTTTCAAATTTAAAACAGTAATATCGATCACAAAGCTATTATCTGGCTTTCTTTCAACAGGGACCCACTAGGTACCGGCATGCCTCTTTTATACTTGCTGACTAAAAGGGTAATTTATGCTCCTAGTAGTACCACATGACACAAAAGCACCTTCTGAGTCATCACAAAATGACTCGCGTGTGTAGTACTACATTACAGTTATTTAAGTGGGTTTTATGACAATTACTTGAAATATGAGAATTATGGCCTATGTGTTGCTTTTTTGGTTCTATCTCTCAGTGGATGCAGGAATTCTATCCTGTCCTCTCTAAGAGATGACCTTAATTCGAGCACCGTCAATAAGAGTTGGTGCTGCCTGGCTTGCTGCCCCTCAACTGTGGCTCTGCAGTCATGTTTCATGTTGGGTGGGTTTTTCTCTTCTTCTTCTTTTTTTGTTTAGAGACATGGTCTTGCTCTGTCACCCAGGCTGGAGTGCAGCGGTGTGATCACTGCGCACTGCAGCCTCAATCTCCTGGGCTCAAAGTCATCTTCCTGCCTCAGCCTCCTGAGTAGCTGGGTGGCACACGCCACCACACCTGGCTAATTTTTTGTAGAGATGGGGTTTCACCACGTTGCCCAGGCTGATCTGGAACTCTTGGGCTCAAGCTATCCTCCTGCCTTGGCCTCCCAGAGTGCTGAGATTATTGGCATAAGCCACTGTTGCCTGACTCAAAACCATCCTTACCTCAAAGGCAGGTGTTACTTGATAATTCTATCCTGGCCCCTTCAAAGTGAGCTACCACTTCGCTTCCTCTGAAGGGCTTCAACACACGGGCATGGAAACGCTGTAGCAAAATTTCCCGTTGTCTTTGCGTAGCACAGAGCTGTGCCGGCTGTGCTGCCTGCCCTTACCTTGCCAACATGATGTTGGAGTTTGGGTTGCTGGTGGCGGGCCCGTTGGGGCTCCACTTGATGGTGTAGATCTCTTTATTGTGAGCCTGAAGATCGTGGATGCACACCTCCTGTTTCATGCTCCAGATCTACAGAATACAGCAGCCACAACATGAGCAAAAGCCTTCCCTGCATCCAGGAACGATGTGGAATCATTCCTCCCGGGGGCGCACATGGGGCCCATGGCAGGCTGCGGGTTGCACAGTGGCGAGAAAGGCTGTGGGGAGGCTGGGATTCTCAGTGGAACCACGACTGAGAAATCAAAGTTCACTGGATGACAGAGGAAGGGAGGGTGGTCAGTAATAAATAATCCTCATGGAAGAGTGACTGTGAGACCGGCGTCAAGTGCCCGGGGTTGTCTGGGATTAAACAGCCCACCCCCTGCCATGCCGACTCTACCTTCAATGTCATGTCATCCGAGCAGGAGGCCAGCAACATTCCAGAAGGATCCCATTTGATGGCGTTGACCTCGTTCTGAAAGAGAGCAGAGAGTCTGAAAAAGACATCAGGGCCTGTGAGCAGATGAGGCCGCCTTCCAGCAGGGGGCAGCAGTGCGTCACCGTCACTGCAGAAGGTCTTCGGCTTCACCCTGACATCAAAGAGCACAGCCCAACCAGCCATCTAGTTTCCTCTTTTTCTCACTTTGCCTTTTTTTATTTATATAAAACCACAGCCCTATACCACACATCACCAGCCACCCTCATCCATATTTCGTTAAGAAAACCTTCCCTGATAGGAAGGAAGGCAAGTGAAGAATTCACATACCATAAAACGCAGCAAATAAAACCAGTAAAACCAGTTACTTTTTAAATTGGCCTTTGAAAATCACTTTCCTATGCACTTTCGTTTTTCAGACAGGGTGTCACTCTGTCTCCCAGGCTGGAGTGCAGTGGCAGGATCACAGGTCCTTGCAGCACGAACCTCTTGAGCTCAAGCAATCCTCCTGCCTCAGCCCCCGAAGTAGCTGGGACTACAAGCAGGCACCACCATGCCATTTATGTATGTATGTATGTATTTATTGTATTTTTATAGAGACGGGGTTGCCCAAGCTGGTCTTGAACTCTTGGGCTCAAGCGATCCTCCCACCTCGACCTCCCAAAGTGCTGGGATTACAGGTGTGAGCCACCACGCCAGGCCTCTTACGCACTTTTAGTGCAACAGTTCCTTCCCGTGACCACACCCATTAGAAGATATTTCTCTCCTGCAGGGGAGTGGAGATGGAGGGAGGGGTAAATACGAGAAGTGAACCTTCAGCTATTGTGGAGTTCAAGCGGGGTTAGGGCTGATCCAGGTGGAAGATGGGCGACCCAAATGCACACACAGGCGGACACACATGTGCAAGGACAGTGAGAGGCAAGTGCTGAGTGGCACAAACACACACGGCACAGGCAAAATCCTGGCTTGGGGTTCATGATCGGCACAGCTAGGTAGCAAAAAGCGCAGACTTAGGACACCTGGGGACCATGAGACTAAACCCTGGAGAATAAAGGTGAATGAATGTACCCAGGAGCCAAGGGAGACAGGGACACTCCCGAGACAGGCATGTATAAAAGAACCACCTGTGGCAAAGGCTCAGCTGGGGAACAGCCTGCCCAGGAGAAACGAGGGGACATGGTGTACCAGCTTGGGGCTCTCTCGGGCCCCATATATCCAGTACAGTCCCACTATGTGACACCTGCTGTCCCAGCCTAACAATTAACTAATTTGACACTCATGCTGGAGAGGGGGCTGAGGGGTGTGAGTACACGCACACATAGGTGTCTGAGTGTGAAATGTGTATGCCAAGGCCAGCAAGGGTGGCTCTGACTGCAGCCATTCAGAGGAAAACCTACGGGCCCAGGAATGTGGAGTTGGTCACCATGGGCTGTCCCTAGCCAAACCAACGCAAAGGAACAAATAACTTCCTGGGAGTGGATCCCTCGCTCTGCAATGCAAGCCCAAGTTCCTGGGCCACCTCCAGAGCTGGCCCATGGGTCTCCACTCAACCCCACTGAGCTAGAGCTTTGTTCAGGGCCATCAGCTGCATTAAGACCCACTTAAAGGGCCAAGGCCTGTGCTGGTGGCAAGGTCCTGGGCAGGACACCTGGGAACCACAGATAGTGTGTACAGCTGTTAAAAATTTGCAGATAGTCCAGGGTTAGAGGAGAAATAAGTTTAGACTGGGACAAGAGAGTCAGTTTGGAGCCAAACAGATGTTAACAGGACGATAGGTGCCGGTGCTCTAAAAGCGCCTTCCTTTGGGACAGGGACCCCTGGGCCAGGGGCAGGGAGAGGCAGACACTAGGGGAATGAGGACAAGGGAATTTACATTAGTTAAGTTAGTGGCACGATGGCAAATCTCCAGGGACTGTGATCATCCTCCCCTGCTTTAACAGGGAACCCCCCGCCACCGCGGAGATATTCTGGGTGCTAGTGAGAGAAGGCAAGATGCCACGGTCCCAGTGTTGGCGCACTCTGCATTTTCTGGGAGAGGCAGACATGCAGGCCAGCAGCTACTGCCAGGGGTGTGGCATTCACGTGGTCAATGGGAGCTCAAGGGGTGCCATGAATCCTCCCCAGGGCGTGCAGAGGATACGTGAATGGGCCTGGAGAGTGGGGAGGATTCTGTTTGAGACCAAGAGCTGCTGTGGTTCCAGGCAAGGCTCAGCGTGGGGCAAGGTGCTTGGCTGTATGTGTCATTGGGAGGACAGAGGTACAGGGCATTTTTGGACACTAGCCCAAGGGCCCAGGAAAGGGAGGCCTTCTCCTCCTGCTAAGGTTGGAGGTCGAGGCTAGTGAATGGGTCTACCAGCAGACTGGAGGTTGCAGAAGGTTAGAGACCACAGAAATTGGCTCATCTGAGAGAGATTTGGTGAAAGACCGGGAAGCCTTTCACCTTTCAGAGGCCACACTAAGGAATTTGCTAAGTCAGCTGTTGTTCACACTGTCATTCCCTGGTATATCATGGGTTTTTTTGTCAGCCTCTGCTTGCCTTTAGGGTTTTCTCTGTCACTGATTCTGGTGTTTGATGACCATATGCCTAGGTGGACAGGTGTGGTTCTGTTTATATTTGTTCTGCTTGAAATTTGCTGAGCTTCTTGGATTAAATGTTGATGTTTTCCACCAAATTTAGGAAAACTTGGCCATTAGTGCCTCACATGATTTTTCTGTTCCATTCTTTCTTCTCTCCCCATCACACATATAGGTTTAGGGTCCCTGACATTGTCCCGTAAGTCATTAAGCTTTTATGCAATTTTTCGATCTTTTATCTGTTTTCAAATTGGCCAATTTCTATGCTTTCTAACCTTACTTCCACAATCTCCCATCTGCTGGTATACCCACTGATGTGCTTTAGATCTGTGTCTCCACCCAAATCTCAGGTGGAATTGTCATCCCCGATGCAGAGGTGGTGCCTGGTGTGAGGTGTCTGGATCATCTGCCACCCTCCCACCTCTTGCCCCTGCTCTGGTCATGTGTGATGCCTGCTCCTGCTTCACCAACCGCCACGGTTGGAAGCTTCCTGAAGCCTCCCCAGAAGCAGATGCTGCCATGCTTCCTGTATAGCCTGAAGAACTGTGAGCCAGTTAAACCTCCTGTCTTATAAATTACCCAGTCTCAGGTATTTCTTTAGGGCAATGAGAGAATTGAGAACTGCCTAATATACCCACCTATTAAAACTTTCATTTCAAACATTGTATTTCTCAGTTCTCAATTCCTTTTTTTTGTTTATGTTTTAAAGAAACAGGGTCTTGCTCTGTTGCCTAGGCTGGAGTGCAGCGGTGCTATCGTAACTCACTGCAGCCTTCATCTCCCGAGATGTGACTACAGGTGTGCGTCACCATATGCAGCTAGCTACTTTTTAAAATTTTTTGTAGAGACAAGAGTCTTGCTATGTTGCCCAGGCTGGCCTCAAACTCCTGGCCTCAAGCAATCCTCTGGCCTCAGACTCCCAAAGTGCTGGGATTATAGGCATAAGCCACCACACTTAGTCTCCATTTGTTTTTTAATGTCATATCTTTTTCCATTCACTGCAGATGTGCCCCGTCTATTCATTCATTGTGAGCACCGTTTCCTTGATGTCCTCTACATGTTTCTCATAGCTACCTTAAAGGCTTTGCTGCCAAATCCACCATCTAGGTCATTTCTGAGTGAACTTCTCACTGTTGACCCCAAACTGGGTCAATCCAACCACCTTGGCTCAAATAGCCAAGGGGCGCAGAAGAGCTGGTCGTCTGCTGCAGTATCTTTTAATTCCAGGCACACAAGAATCGGCTCCCACATCACATTCTCACGAACTCGAGACCAGTGACAAGAGCTCTCACTTACTGTGTGTCCCTGGAAGGTTTTGACTGGGCGGTCACAGCCGAGCCTGCACACGTGGATACACATGTCTGTGCTACAGGAGGCGAAGGTCGTGTTGTTCTGCCAGTCCACATCAAGGGCAGGGGCTGCAGCAGGGAGGGAGAACACCTGCAGTTATTCACTGTGTGCACAGCTCCATGGATTTACAACAGTGAACAGCACAGTCAAGAAGCCTCTTTAGTTTACTTATTTATTTATTCTAGAGACAGGGCCTGCTCTGTCACCCAGGCTGGAGTGTAGTGGTGTGATCATGGCTCACTGCAGCCTAGAATTCCTGGGCTCAAGGGATCCACCCACCTCAGCCTCTCGAACAGCGCACACCACCACGTGTGGCTAATTTTTTTTTTTTGTAGAGACGAATTCTTGCTATATTGCCCAGGATGGCCTTGAACTCCTGACTTCAAACTATCCACCCGCCTCGGCCTCCCAAAGTGTTAGGGTTATAGGTGTGAGCCATTGCACCCAGCCAAGAAGCCCCATTTAGTGACATGATAAAAACATCTCAAGTGTGAACAGTCTCTTTCTTTCTAAGACTTTAAAGACCCTCTCTTGCCACGTTGGCAGGGATGACAAGATGTCCTGGGAGAGAGGCTCCATGACACTTCCTGCACCCCACGGCCTGCAGAATCTCCCGCTCCCATGGCACAGTTAAGAAGGGCAGGTGAGAGGGCCGCCCTGCCTGCTCTGTACCTTGCTGCTTCCAGCGGCATCTCTACAGTGAGCTTATTTGATTTTAGACAGAGAGGAGAAAATAGGAGAGGAAAGATTTCCTGTCCTATGTTCATGATACCTCAATATGAAAAATACTCTCCCGTAACACATTAAGGCATCCCCTTAACTATGGGATAATTAGAGTCAATAAGAACCCCTTTGGGGACGAAATGGGACGTGTGCTTCAGGGCCTGTGACCAACACCCTCCCTCACTTTGGGTCTTTCCAAGTCCAGGTGGCTCAGGGTCACAAAGACAGAACAACGGGGAGCTGACCTCCCCTTGTCGTTTAGTTACAGCTATGGGTCTCATTCTCTACCTTCTGATTTCTTTTCTAGGATGGCAGCTGGGAATCCAACAACTTCCCAATGTACCAAAATGGCCAGGGCACTCGTTAAAAGCCAGGCCCTGGTTCTGTCCTCAGAGTGTCTGACTCCACAGGGCTGGACCATGCCCTGAGAGGCACTGCAAGCACAGGTGACAGCAAGGGCGCTGAAGTCCTAGCAACTGGCCCTCATTCCTCGTTCTGCCTCTTTACTGACGTGCAGCTGCAGGGTGACGGTTTCCTGGAGTCTCAGCTACACATGTGGATGTTGCCAGTAGCCCCAGACAAGGGGGAGCGAGACGAGGCATCTCAGGGGATCAGCAGTGCCCGGGACACGGAGTGCACTGGAGGTGTGGAAGGTCCCACGGTGGGGGCCACCGTGCACTCTCATCCTCTTCTGTTTCTGGGGAAGCGTGGCTTCAACTGCTCACTCCTGTTCTCTAGCAAAGAGTGGGTCTGCGGCTGGGAGCGAGCATCTCTTCCAACTTCTCTCAGGCGTCCACGGGCTGCAGGGGTCACCTGCATTCCTAGGGGCCAGCAAGGGCGCTGTGCTCAGGTCTCTGGTCTCTTTCCACTGTGGGGGCCACAGCAGCAGATCATGTTCCCCGGGCTTCTTCCCACCTCATGCCAGAGAACTGATGAGCAGCAGAAAAGGCCATGCAATGCTGAGACGGGAGGGCACGGGAAGAGGCGGCTTCTCTGGTGATCTCTTCCCTTCCCCTGAAGGTTCTGAGCAACCCCACCCTCTTATTACGGATCATCATGAGGCTTCTTGTGTGGAGAGGACATCCACAACCAGCCCTGTGTCTGGAACCCCGGCTATCAAAGGGAATGACTTAGGGATGTGAAAAGTACTGTGCTCCATTACATGTGAAATGGAGGGAAGGGCCCTCCCTTCCCAGAGTTCATGCTAATTTAAAGGGGTAAAGTCTTATGGGGCAGGGAGCTTGGGGTTTTTCGAGAGCTAGTCGTTTGCATCTGACCACCTCTCGTAACCCTGCGCTTCCCATGCAAGCCCATGGAAATTACTTTAAGCTACTGAGTGGGCTCCATGATGCCCCCAGGAGAGGAGGCAGGGTTAGGGCAACTCTACAAGTCTGCCCAGCCAAGAACTCTCATTGGTTTTCCTGGATACTATGGTCCATTCTGTTACTTGCCAAGTTATGCTCTCCAAGGTAGCTGCAAACACTGAATCAGCCAATAATGAAGCACTGCTTCCAGGGAAAAGAGACGGTTAGCTTCTGCCAGGCTCTGGCCACCATGTCCTTACTGATCGACCAATATAGAAACTCATATGTGTTTTTTGTATTTTTCTTAGAGATGAAGTCTTGCTGTTGCCCAGGCTGGAGTGCAGTGGCACAATCACAGCTCACTGCAGCCTCAAACTCCTGGGCTCAAGCAGTCCTCCTGCCTTAGCCTCTTGAGTAGCTGGGACTATACATGTGTGCCACCACACCCAGTTAATTTCTTTTTTTTTTTTTTGAGACAGGATCTCGCTCTTGTCACCCAAGCTGGAGTGCAGTGGCACAGTCTTGGCTCATTGTACCCTCAATCTCCTGGGATCAGGTGATTCTCCCACCTCAGCCTCCCTAGTAGCTGGGATGACAGCTGCACGCCACCACTGAAAAATACCCGGCTCATTTTTCAAAGATGTTTTTGGCAGAGATGGGGTTTTGGTGTGTTGCCCTGGTTGGTCTCAAAATCCTGGGCTCAAGTGATTCTCCCACCTTGGCCTCCTAAAGTGCTGGGATTATAGGAATGAGCCAACACACCCAGCCACGTGTGTTTCTTACAGCCAGGCAGCACTGAACTGAGAAGAATCCAGCTTTCTCTGAATGCTAACCATCGATTGCCCCTGCCCTTCCTTGGTCTTTAAATAAGAGGTGCAACCTTCCATGTGTTTATCCTCCGTAAGCACAGGGACCCCACTCGCTTCCCCCTCCAGCTCCCCGCCAGGCGGAAGGTGTGGGTGGGAGGACGCGGGTGTCAGCAGTGGTCTTTTCTACATCTGAGATCATCTCTCTTTTGTTCCATCCCCAGCAGCGTGTTTCATGACAGCCCCACGGTTCTTGACGCATTTTCTTGGTTCTCGTTGACAACATCACCTGAGCTAAACAGCAAACTTCTGGTCCGGCCTCTGCATTTGGGCGTGTGATTAATATACCTGGAAATGTGACAATCTGGCGAGCGGTCCAGGAGACGGCAACCAGCATCTGATGACTCCTCCATCTAAAGCAAGCTGGTTCAACCCGCGGCCCACGATGGCTTTGAATGTGGCCCAGGACAAATTTGTAAACTCTCTTAAAACATTAAGAGGCTTTTTTTTTTTTTAAGCTCATCAGCTATTGTTAGTGTATTTTATGTGTGGCCCAAGACAATTCTTCTTTCCATGTGGCCCAGGGAAGCCAAAAGATTGGACATTCGTGATCTAAAGAGAGGCCCCCCCGCCCGCCACCATGCTCAGGTGGTTAGCCCCATTCTGAGTCAGCTCCTGCAGCTGCGATGCTTGGAACCACGTGGGTGAATGGCTGGTAACAGGGCTGAGCTACGCTGGGGGGCTCTGTGCCCTCCCTCCCATGCATAGGCCAGTTTGGTTTAATAGCCTTCATTCTTCTGGGTCCAGCCAGACGTTTTCCTTTTGAAATACGTAGAGATTTACAGGAAGCTGCAAAGGTAACACAGAGAGGTCCTGTGTCTCCTTCACCCAGGTTCTCCTGAGGGTTACATTTTGCATAGCTGTAGCGTGTATCAACCCTGGCAAGTTGACACTGGTGCAATCTGCCTGTAGAGTGCTGTCATTTTATCACGTGGGTAGATGTGTATCGCTGCAATTGAGACCAGAACTGTTCGGTCGCCACTAAGATCTCCCTCAGCTACTGTATCGGCACACGACCGCTCCTCACAGGCTTCCTAAACTCCCACACCGCTGGTGGGTCCCAGGTTTCTATCATTTCATCATCATGAGAATGTTACATAAATGAAAGCACAGAGCATGCAACCTTTTGAGACTGGCTTTTGTCACTCAGCAAAATGCCCTTGAGATCTCTCCTGGCTGTGGTGCCTCAATAGTTCATTCCTTTCCGCGGCTGAGTTTCACTTCACCATGAGGCTTTGAGCTAAGGCTTCCTGTTGACGGTGACTGAGGGCGCCCCCATGAGGTATCAGTGGGGAAAAGCTAGTGGGGCAAGGCAATGTCTCCTATCGCCCCATTAAACCCCAAACCTGCCAGAGCCACAGAAAGGCGCTCCTCACAGCTCTTCCCAGCTGCGTTTCACCTGGAAGAGCAAGCTTCTTTCTCTTATGTTGAACGTTCTCTAACACACTCGATGGACACGAAAAAGAGAGCAAGTAACGCCTAGATACGTGTGACCTGCCGACGGGAATTGGGTCTACCTCATGGCCAGCCAGATGACAGGTGAGAAGCTCACGCAATTCAGAATAACGCGGTTTGTGGTCTTCCTGGGTCAGCTGGGTAGAAAACCCTTCCATAGGGCCCTGGGGACACTTTGGGAAAGATTATTTTCTGCTGAAATACTTTACAGATGAATTCTTAAGATACAGTGTTAGAGGAGCCTTATTGATGTTTACCTCGGGCATATTTTTCTCTGAAAAACAAGCCAGAGACATCCCCGCCTCACCCCCCGGGTCTGCATGTCTGGTATTCTAGGGCTGTGACCCTGTCACCACATCCTTCCTGCCTACGAAGGTAGGGTTTGGCACGTAAGCCAAACGTGACGGAACTCCACTGGGAACGGCATTCTCACTAGCCACCTGCTTTGATTTGCAGCCTAGAGCACAGAGTAGCAAGTGTCTGGCATGGAGATGACACACAGATCACAGGCTGTACAGGTGGGGTTGCCAGGGGCCGGGGGAAAGATGGAATGGGCACAGGGTTTCCCTCTGGGGTGAAGAACACTTTCTGGAGAACCTAGTGCACATGCTACCTGCATTGGGAGCCTTTTGTCTCTAATATGCCCATCGCCTTCATCAACAGTGTTCAATGAAAGCAACACCAGTAACAAATTGCACTGGCAGCCCTGAGAGGTATGTTTGCTGTGGGTCCCAAGCTGTGCAGGAGTGGCTCTCCCTCTCCAGGGCAGCAGAGCAGAAACAGTGTCCTCCCTGAGTCTCCCTCACTCTCTGAGCTGCCTGTGTGAGGAGTCCCTGCTGAAGTGCTGCATGGAATATAACAGACGTGGGTGCCTATGCATCTGACACAATTGTGCCTCAACAGGACCTTTGGTTCATGCTCTTGTTTCTTGCAGGGCCCATGTCCCCTGCCTGGAGCCCTCCCCAGGCACCAATGAGCTGTTCTGTCTCGGACGGTCGTTGGGGTTAGCCCTCCCATTCACAACATCATTTAAGCACCCCAAGCTGCCTGAGAAGACAGACACTCAGATCTCCTCCCGAACAATGCCCCAGGGACAGCTGATAGAACAGTCAACTTTCGCCCCACATATTTAGGGATTCTTTCAAGATGGATCACACATTTGCCCTTAAGGGAAGTGGCACGTACCCACTTCTGTCCATTTTAAGCCAGTCTAAAGTCTTCCAATAGTCTATTAGCTCTGCGGGTGGCCATCTGTCTTTGTTTTAAGAGGCCATGTCTAACATCAGGACTGAGTTACACAGAGGAGGGAGTTGGGAAAGAAAATGAAGAATCATTTTGGGAGACCGAGGCGGGCAGATCACTTGAGGTCAAGAGTTTGAGACCAGCCTGGCCAACATGGCGAAACCCTGTCTCTACTAAAAATACAAAAATTAGCTGGGCGTGGTGGCACATGCCTATAATCCCAGCTACTCAGGAGGCTGAGGCAGGAGAATTGCTTCAGCATGGGAGGCAGAGGCTGCAATGAGCTGAGAGCGCACCACTGCATTTCAACCTGGGTGACAGGTAAAACTCTGTCTCAAAAAAAAACCAAAAAACAAAAAACAAAAACCCACGAAGAATCAGGTGGGAATTTGGAAAATCGGAATCTCTACAGACCCCTGGGCTGCCGCATGTGGCCTGGCCCGGCTCCAGCGCACAAAGGGATGTAGCTGTGTCCAGAGCAGCGGCCACATATGGGCGTAGGAAGGTGCTAACACCACAGGCCCGAGGCTGCTCTCCCTACAGAGGCTTGCTTGCAAGGCCGGCCCTTGGCTAGCAACTGAGACTTGAGATTTCTAGAGAGTTCCCATCCTTCCCTAACAGACGCAAGCAGCTCACTCTGCTAACACTTGTTTGTGCAAACGGTGTGTTTATGCTGCACACCTGCTTTCCTTCTGGGGGGTCTGCAGTTTTGGCTTGTAGTAGGCACTGGCTGCTTACACTGCCAACCCCCAATAAAAACTCTGGACACTGAGACTCTATGGGGCTTCCCTGGTATGCACCTCACAGGCATAGTTACAGCTTACTCCTGGAAGAATTCAGTGTGGCCTGCGACAGTCCACTGGGAGAGGAGCCTTCGAAGCTCTGGATTTGGCTATGTGCACCGTTTCCCTTTGCCAGTGTTGTACTAAATTCTTGTGCTGTTAGAAATCTTAGCTGTGAGTATGTTGAGTCCTGGGGGTCCTCGCAGCAAACCACCAATCCTGGCAGTGGTTTCGGGGAGCCCCCAAAACAGCATCCCTTTAGAACAGCAAGAGAAAGGAGCCTGCCCTGCTTCTGTGGCTGGCTCACTGCTGGGTTTCAGAGCTCTGAGCAGGTGGGTGTCGAGGTCATCTCTACCTTGCAAACCTTAAGAGCAATCAATGCTTGCCAGAAAATGGGTCTCCTTCGGACCAGTGAGGGCCCCGGGCTCCATACTCTGTGCATTCAGTTACTTTAAGGGGCATTTCAGGATCTCATTCTGTCACCCAGGCTGGAATGCAGTGGTGCAATCACAGCTCACTGTAACCTTGATTTCCTGGCTCGAGCAATCCTCCTGCCTCAGCCTCCTGGGCAGCTAAAACTAGAGGTGTGTACAACACCTGACTAATGTTTTATATTTTTTGTAGAAACGGGGTCTTGCTTTGTTGCCCAGGCTGGTCTAGAACTCCTGGGCTCAAGTGACCCTCCTGTCTCAGCCTCCCAAAGTGCTGGAATTACACGCATCAGCCATAGTGCCAAGCCTAACTTTGGATTATTATTAGTTTTTAAGACAGGGTCTGGCTCTGTTGCCCAGGATGGAGTGCAGTGGTGCAATCTTGGCTCACCGCAAACTCCATCTCCTGGGCTCAAGCCATCCTCCTAACTCAACCTCCTGAGTAGCTGGGACTGTAGGTGTGGACCACCGTGCCTGGCTAATTATTGTATTTTTTGTAGTGATGGGTTTCGCCATGTTGCCCAGGCTGGTCTTGAACTCCTGAGCTCATAAAATCCACCTGCTTCGGATTCCCAAAGTGCTGGGATTACAGGCGTAAGCCACTGGGCTCAACCTGAATTATTATTTTTGAATTACAAAAAAAAAAAAAACCAAAAAACAAAAAAACTCACCCGAATGAAAAGGAAACTGCTGTTTGGCTTCTCCTGTGTGGGCATCCCAAATTATTGTTGTCTGTGCTCCGCAAACAAAGGAAAAAGTTAGTAACTCTTCTCGCAGTTTTCTCTGGAAACATTTATCATACAAGAAAAGACAGTGAGCCCTTCTCCTTATAAACCCGCACTGTCCAACAGAGATAGAGAGTGAGCCTTACGGGCTAGTTTCAATTTTCTAGGATCCACATTAAGAAGAAAGAAACTGGTAAAATTCGTTAGCAATCTATTATGTTTAACTCCAGTATGCCCCTAAATATTACCATTTCAACATGTAATCAGTATCAAAACCTTGCTGGGATATTTGCCTTCTTTTTCTCGCACACCACATCATTAAAATACAGCATGTTTCAAACTTAGCAATCTGGATGGCCATGCTTGATGAAGCCATCAGCCACATATGCTGGCATCTCCCTTAACTCATTTATGCCTGAGGTTGCAATTTTTTGAATTCTTGCAATCAGACCTTGGCAATGACCCTGAGCAGTAGGATATAAATAACTCCCACATGCTTAGCATTCCGATAATGGAACACTAGGCATAAATGGGCTTAAGGACAGAGCATCCCTAACCAATACTTGCAAGAACTACCAAAATTGGTAGGAATTCCTCCTCATCCCCAAATGCCAAAAAATGTTGAAAACCCTGGAACAAAGCATCTCTAAAGATCTTTGTGGCATTTTTACAAGTGAAGGGCTGCAGAAACAAGCATTTCTAAAAATGCCTCTGCCCATCCCTCCATGAACCGGGGACACTAGACATGGCAGAGCCATTGGCTTGCACTGGGGCCAGGAACCAATGTATTGGTCTAACAGTAAGTAGAAAGGTGAGTTCTCCCTTGGAAAACAAAGGAAATCACGAATTTTTATTAATTTACTGATGCTAGGAAGATACTTAGAAAACCAGCTCAATGAATAGCATTGGAGTTACATCTTCATCAACTGGAATTTTCAACTTAATTGGAAATTTTACACCTCTCTGTTAGTGACACTCAGTCAAGATTTTGCTTTAAGAAGAAAGAGTTCTATTTTGTGTTGACTGTGGACATTTTCAGAGGAAAGCAAGCAGTGAGTGTCTCTGAAACTTGGTACTCCTGGGTTTTGGATCAGTCCTAGACCAATGAACATTTCTTTGTTGGGGTGTAACTCTTCTTAATTTAGCCACGCAAAAACAAATCTAACACTGCAGAGAATATATAAACTCTTTCACAGTTCTGATACCATTTCACATATTACATCAGTGACTGGGTCTCTTAGTTGATGTTAAATATACATTGGACAAAAGAAAACAGTTATGCAAACATTTGAAGAATGTGACATACATTTTAGTCACTCTGTGTTGGTCAATACCAGCATCCCCTAAGTTACATTTTCTCCCCGAGTGTTATGTACAAGGACATTATTTTCACTCCTGCTGTGGTTGACTAAGTAATGATAGTGGATCGCACCCAGCCCAGGAGACTAACATAATTCCACATACGCATTTTCACTGATCACATAGTCCATCACCTGGTGGAGTTAAGACTGATAATCAGTGAGAAAAACAATCACGAATGTTAACAGTCTCCAGGTAGGAAGGAGGCTGGCTATTTAACAAACAGAATTTTTTGTTAAATTTAGAATTCTACAGAAGTTAAAGGGCAGTAGTTACCAGTGACCAGGGCCTGAGTTCCCATCCCTCTGCACTCTGCACCAGCTGTGTGTCCCTAGGCAAATTAATAACCCTCTCTGGGCCTCCAGTTCATCCTCTATAGAATGGGAGTGATCCTACTTGTGCCTGCCTCCTATCTTGGCAGTACTGGATGGGTTAACACACGCAGTAGTGAAGTGCTTGATAAAGACAAATGCTGTCATTTTCATGAGTTATTTTAATAACTCAAGCAGCAATTACTGAGAGCCTACTGAATGCACAGCAAAGTGCCGCATATGCATGTTACTTGAATTAGAACATCTTGGCAAAAATCCGATAGTAGCTACATAAGAACGTTTATGTGTCAACCACAGCAACTCGGCTTTTAAAATATCATAAACCAGGCTACTAAGTCTGAAAGAAAGGTTTCTTGGCTTAAAAGAGAGAGAGCAATTATGAATGAATGATTTGTTGACCTAGTTATACCCTAGTGCAGGACTTCGCAAACTTTTTCTGTTAAGGGCCAGGTAGCAGGAATTTCAGGCTTTGAGGGCCATCCGGTCTCCCTTGCAACGCTCATCTCTGCCACTGTAGCATGAAAGCAACCATGGAGAAGTCTCAACAAAGGGGTGTGGTTGTGTCCCAACACCACTTTATTTAAATTAAAAAATCAGGTGAGGAGCCAGGCTTGGCCTGTGTGGGTCACAGTTTGCCAAATGCAATTATTTAATTTAGCAATTTCTCCAAAAGTGGGATGATGTTCAGAGGTCAAGTCTATCATTTTATTTATCTGTTTATTTATTTGAGACAAAGTTTTGCTCTTCTTGCCCAGGCTGGAGTGCAATGGCGCGATCTTGGCTCACCGCAACCTCCACATCCCGGGTTCAAATGATTCTCCTGCCTCAGCCTCCTGAGTAGCTGGGATTACAGGCATGCACCACCACACCTGATTAATTTTGTATTTTTAGTAGAGATGGGGTTTCTCCATGTTGCTCAGGCTAGTCACGAACTCCTGACCTCAGGTGATATGCCTGCCTTGGCCTCCCAAAGTGCTGGAATTACAGGTATGAGCCACCATGCCCAGCCAAGTCTATCATTTTATAATAACTTTCAGAACTAGAAAGAATAGAAAGCTCTGACTTCATAAAGTTTTTTGTTTTGTTTTTTTTGAGACAGAGTCTCACTCTTCTTCCAGATCCAGGCTGGAGTGCAGAGATGCAATCTCGGCTCACTGCAACCTCCTCTGCCTCCCTGGTTCAAGAGATTCTCGAGCCTCAGTCTCCAAGTGTCTGGGATTACAGGTGCCTGGCACCACGCCCGGCTAAGTTTTGCATTTTTAGTAGAGGCTGGGTTTCACCATGTTGGCCAGGCTGGTCTCGAACTTCAAGACTTAGTAAGTTTTCAAGTTATCCTGAAATCATCACAAAATGCAAAGCTTTGTGGAGGCCCGGGCATCCAGTATTCAGGCAATGTTTCCATTTGTTGTAGAAACACAAATTGATGTGAAAACACATCTTTTTTGTTTTTTTTTTCCCAATTCTAGATAATACGCTTCTTTTCCAAAGCCATGACTTAGAATTCCTGCTGAGTCTCAGGAACGCACAACTGTTCCACGAAGGCTGTCTGGGGTCATGACTCCAGCCAGCCCTGTCGCTGGACAAGTGAGGGAAGTGAAATGCAGAGAGGCTGAGGTTTCTGGCTGAATCAGACTCAGGCCCGGGATGAAGTCTGCATCTCCTTACTCTTTGCCCTTAGGTTCCCACCCCATTGATGGCTTTTAAATGCACCTGGAGTTAACGCCACTGTGTATGCCTGCAGCCCTGCCCAGGTGCAGAGCAAGCCAATTCTAGACTGACTCTGTGAGCCATCCGGAGAGTGTGCCCTTGTAGCCAGGTTGCTTGACTGCTGCTCAGAGAAATCTGCAGTCTATGGTGGGAAGCAGCAGTTTATCAAACGAGGAAAGCCGAAGCCTGAAGAACACACCCAGCCTGTGCCACTCGCCCCTCAGTGGGTGAAAGTTCACGCGGGGCACACCCCATACCACATGGCTCCTTCCAGCAACCAACAAATGCAATGTGGAGATTTTCCTCTCTACCACTGAACCATGTACCTCAAATAAAGGGAAGCTTTGCACAAGGGTCTGCAGGACAGAATACATTAAGAGATGATGTGTTACAAATTAACAGAAAGATCAAAACCACAAAAACAAAGCCTAAACAAATCTTTTTCGTTTCTTAAGGGGAAGCACAAAGCCTAAGAGTTCCAAGAAACCACGATGGTATTTTGAGATTAAAAATATATAACCACCTGTGGATCAAAGGGATGTATTTTAAGCTAATACTCACTTTGTCTACACCAGCACTCAAAATGTAATTCCCCTTTCTGTTCCATTTCAAGGCAAAGATGGGGCCTTTATGTTGGCCTAAGGTGCTGGCCAGGTTACCTGTTAGTAAAAACAAACATGTTGACTTCAATGTCACGGTCTGTTCACTCAACAAGTTCGGCAACTCCTCTTACCCGACCTCAGCACGAGGGACACAGAACTCACCATCTTCCGTCCATATTCTTGCAAAACCGTCATATGAACCTGTAGCCAAGAGTGTTCCATTGGTCTGAGGGCCAGAAAGAGACAAAAACAACTTAGGAGTGGCAGCACCAAACAGCTCCAAGAGCCTCTCCCAAGATCCCGCTACACTGGAACCATTTGCCACTGTGTGTTCTTTAATGACAGAATTAAAACTACCATGCTGAAAGTTATCGTGAAACCTTGCAGAAAATAAAAAGCAGCCAAACTGTGGACATCCCATGTGCCCATGCATAGAATACCTGGTGCTGAAATCCCAAGGTGGAGAGTCACCTTTCCTGGGCTGCACGTCGTCTCGAACTACCTTGGGGCTCCCGGCCCTACCTTCCCACCATGAAACCACAGGCTCATTTTGCTACGGCATGCTCACATGCAAAGATACGGCTACTGAACACACAGCTCGCTGCCTGCCAAATGCAGCCTTGTTAATACCTCTTAGAAGCCAAGACTGGCCGCGGGCAGTGGCTCACGCCTGTAATCCCAGCACTTTGGGAGGCCGAGGCAGGAGGATCACATTGGGTCAGGAGTACGAGAGCAGCCTGGCTGACATGGTGAAACCCCATCTCCACTAAAAATACAAAAATTAGCCAGGTGTGGTGGCGCGAGCCTGTTAACCCCAGCTATTTGGGAAGCTGAGGACAAGAGAATCGCTTGAACCCAGGTGGCAGAAGTTGCAGTGAGCTGAGATCACACCACTGTATTCCAGTCTGGGCAACAGAGCAAGACACTGTCTCAAAAAAAGAAAACCCACACAAAAAAAGAAGCCAAGAGCACCTCTCTGGCAGCCCATTAGAGTGGGGCTGAGCACACGGGACCACCTGCCTCCTATGTCTGCATGAGCTCCATGGCTGCAGTCCTCCCCTGGTGGCTGGCTGATTTTACCAATTTCAAAGTGCCCAGGGGGTGGAAGATGCTTACATTCCAGTCCAGTGAGGTGACATCTTTGTTACTTGGGACGTCGTGGCCCCCTTCTCGTATACAGTGCCTCAACACGAGCTGGGTGGAGCCCCCGCTGCTATTCTCATTCAGGTTCCATATCCTTGCAGTTGAGTCTCCGGATCTGCAGAATAAAAACACAGGAGCCTCTGGCGTTTGGTTCAAACGGGGTAAGAAGCTCTCCACAGCTTACTCTCTGGCCAGATGGCATTTTCGGCACGTGCTCTTCTGTCTTTTTCATACCTCTGGATCCCTGTTTCCCTCCTTGCCATCTTTGCATTTGGTAATTTTAAATGCTGTTGTGTTCCTCATCACCACATGAAGAAAATGACTTGGAACGGTGGCTTCTCCACAATATGAGACATGTAGAGAAATGGATCATAGAGCCACCCATTCCTCGGTCTGCCCACACTGGGGTAAGAAGGGGAGTGTGTGTTCCTTAAGGCAGAACTCCAGAGAAGGGCAAGAGCCCGCATCTCCCATCTCCCCAACTTTGGAGCGCCCCTATCCTGACATCCTTACCCGGAAGCTAGCAAATCACTGACAGGATTCCAGGCACAAATGAACACCTCAGACTCATGGCCCCGAAGGACTGTGGCTTTGCTGGATGGAATCTCAACCTCTCCATCTATTTCCATTGGCTTCGCGTGATTATCTGTTACAGGAAACACAAAGAGACAAATGGCTTACCAATACAAGAGAAACACACTTAAAGGGCGCTTTTGTTTCCAGAAATATTTCTTTTCATGTACTAAGTAATACTACCTCTGATGATCCCTTTTCTTTTCTTTCTTTTTTTTGAGATGGAATCTTGCTCTGTCGCCCAGGCTGGAGTGCAGTGGCGCAATCTCGGCTCACTGCAACCTCCACCTCCCAGGTTCAAGCAATTCTCATGCCTCAGCCTCTCAAGCAGCTGGGATTACAGGCACGTGCCACCACACCTGGCTAATTTTTGTATTTTTAGTAGAGGCGGGGTTTCACCATGTTGCCAGGGTTGGTCTCAAACTCCTAGCCTCAAGTGATCCACCTACCCCAGTCTCCCAAAATGCTGGATTACAGGCGTGAGCCACCGCGCCCGGCCTACCTCTGATGATTCTAACGAAATCGTGGTTTTAGTGCAATTTAGTAAATATTTTAGGTTTCTTTATAGTTTGACAGTCTCTAAATTTCATTGAGGAATAAAAACAATTTGCTAGGTGCAGTGGCTCACACCCAAAATCCCAGTGCCTAAGGAGGCTGGGGAGGGAGGATTGCTTGAGACCAGGAGTTCAACAGCAGCCTGGGCAACATAGCAAGACCCCATCTCTATTGAAAAAACAAAAACAAAAAAAATTAGCCAGGCATGGTGGTACACACCTGTAGTCCCAGCTACTCAGGAGGCTGAGGTGGGAGTATCCCTTGAGCCCATAAGGTTGAGGCTGTGTGAGCTATGATTGTGCCACTGCACACCAGCCTGGGTGATAGTTACTCTTTATAACTGGGGCCAGCTAACTACAGCCCATGATCCAAACCTAGTCCCTCCCTGGCTGCTTCTGCATAAATAAAGTGTGACTGGCACATAGCCGCTCCACATGTTTTCAAATTGCCTATGGCTACTGTTATGGGCCAAACTATGTCCCCCTAAAATTCATATCTTGAAGCCCCAATTTCCAGGACCTCAGAATGTGGCTGCATTTGGAAATAGGGCTTTCGAAAAGGTGAGCAGGGTAAAAGGAGGTCACGGGGTGGGCCCTAACCCAATGGGACTGGTGTCCTTATGAGAAGAGGAGATCAGGACACAGACACAACCAGGGGAACGAGCAGGTGAAGACATGGAGAGAAGACGGTCTGTACATGCCAAGAGAGGCCTTGCAAAGTAACCAGCCCTGCCCACACCTTGACCTCAGTCCTCCAGCCTCCAGAACTGTGAGAGCAAATTCTTAAGCTGCCTGGTGTGTGGCCTTTTGTTATGGCAGCCTGAGCGGACTCTCACAGCGGCTTTTGCACTATGACAGACTTCAGCAGCCGTGACACAGACTGCATGACCCTCAAAGCCTGGGACATTTACTGTCTGTCTCTGTAAAGAAAGTTCGCTAGCCCCTGGTTTATACTCCTGAGAAAGCAGCAATATAGCCTGATCATCAAACAATTAGCTATGGTTAACAGTTTCACAATACGGAGAAACAGTGAGGAATTGAGCATGCTTCGTCATAAGTCTTTCATAAAGGTGCTTTGGTAGAAAACCTGGGAAACAGAAGCAATGTGATCTGAGGTTACCTGTCACTAAGTAAGGAGTGCTGTTTATGTAAAAAATAAAATGCCTGGTGGTCCTGCTTGGCTCGAGAAGCCTGATACAAAAGATTCAAACAACAATGGGACTCTTCAATGTTGGTGTTTCTTCCATGCTCTTAAAGTGCCACCTGGCTGGAAGAGAGGAGAAACATCTTTCTGTGTGTGGCAGATCCACTGTCCCTGGCAATGGCAAGAGGGAAGCTGGCAGCTTAGCCAGCCACGCAGTGGCTGGGGGCCTGGTAACTCCAGGCAGGCGTGGCAGCCAGTATTTTCACTCTTATCAAAATGCGGCTTTCCAATGCTCCTGTCTCCACAGATTGGGCTGTGGGTCAGGCACGAGATGTGGGGTATGAGAACGGGGTTGGGGTGGCTGCTCCAAAATTTCAACCAGGGTGAACTGGTCACATGCACAGAGGAGGGGGGCCACACTCTTCTTTTCCTGCCCCACAATTGCGGGACCTTATCAATAAAAGGCTGGTGAGAGGTTTTTTTCCTTTTACCTGAGGCAGGTGGCCTTTCCGTCACCCTATTGCACTAGAAACGTTATTAACAATCTATGAACCTTCCATTAAATGCTGGATCTGATTCTCCAGGGAATTTGCTAGCTGGTGCCTGTGGATGGTAACTTGTCACAGGGCTTGGCTTGGCTTGGGCTGCAGCCTCATCAGAGGCATCCGGCTGGCTCTCTACACACCAGGAAGTTGTGGAGCCAAGACATACCAGGTTTAAGACACCAACATCATAGTCAGCTCGATTTCAAATAAGGAGGAACACACACACATACACTACACCATGCACGGGCACGTACGCATACACACACGCATGCACGCACACGCACATGCACATACACTACACCATGCACAGGTACAGGTGCGTGCACACACACGCATACACACAAACGCACGCACACACATGCACACGCACACATGCACACACACGCACACACGTGCACATGCATGTGCGCACACACGCACAGGCATACACACATGCAGATATACACATGTACAACATACATATGCACACACGCATACCCGCGCATGCGAGTACACGCACACACACGGTGCGCCATGCACGGTGCATATGCTCGCTCTGAACTTGCGCCCTGAAGTGGCGTCCCTACGGGTGTATAGAGCAGTAGGTCTAAGTGGAGCAAGTTTTCTGGGTAGAAATTTGGGTGCTCTGTCTGACTTGCCACATACTCATGGGCAATCACCTAACAGGGACTGATGTCCTGGGGTTTTGCAAAGACCAAATAAGCTAGCCAGGCGCGGTGGCTCAAGCCTGTAATCCCAGCACTTTGGGAGGCTGAGACGGGCGGATCACAAGGTCAGGAGATCGAGACCATCCTGGCTAACACGGTGAAACCCCGTCTCTACTAAAAAAACACAAAAAAACTAGCTGGGTGAGGTGGGCGGGCGCCTGTAGTCCCAGCTATTCGGGAGGCTGAGGCAGGAGAATGGCGTAAACCCAGGAGGCGGAGCTTGCAGTGCGCCAAGATCTGGCCACTCACTCCAGCCTGGGCAACAGAGCGAGACTCCATCTCAAAAAAAAAAAAAAAAAAAAAAGACCGAATCAGCCTATGTCTAGTGTCTGGGGCCCAGTGCCCTTAGCAGGAACTGCAAGCTCAATAATTATACCATAATTTGGCCAAAACCCCTCAGCATGGAAAGTTGGAGGCTGAGACTAAAGATATCCATGAATGAAACACTGTTGTTTATCATGGACAATAATCATGTGTTACACAAGAGTTCTCAGATCAGCAACGCAGCACCATTTCCTAAAGTTGAAGATGACGGTAAAGAAGGTCAGGTCCAAGGGCTGTGATGGAAAAAATGGAATGGGAAGTTCTTCTGGTCAGATCGTAAGCAAACACTAGAGAGCAGCTTCTGAGACATTTGTAGCAGGCAGGATTTTAAGAAGGCATTCGGATTTGCCCAAGAAGAAAACAATGAACCCAGAGAGGCCCACGGAACTCCCAGAGCCCCTGCACTCACTGACTGAATGTGCTCTGTTCTCTTCCCCATTCACCGTGGCCTCTCTGTTCTTCGATGGATTTTGCTGAGAAACGCTGGCTGAGGTCGTGGTGGCTGCGGTCGCTGCCGCCGCTGCCGCCGCGCTGGCTTGCTGCTGAGCGAGCTTCTCTCGGAATGCCTGCTGCCGCGTCTGCACCACATCAGGCATCACAGCATCTATCAGTGACAGGGACTCTATGGGGCGGCCGTCGAACACTGTGCCATCCTGGGGAAGCAAGCCAAGGTACAGCTGTCAGCTCACGTGGGTGAGGGCTCTGGGAAAGGACTCTGCTCTCTGGGCAGGAGAAGCGCAGGGAAGAGGGGCATAAACAGCTGGCTCCCAGCAACCAGGGGGCCACAGGGGAAGCAGCATGGACCTGGAGCCTGGAAGCCTGGGGTGAAGGGATCCCATGGTGGGCAGGGGGGCAGGGAAGGGGACATGACAAACTGTTGGTAAGAACTAAGTGTGACAGTTGTTCTGAGTGTCAAACCCAATTGGGACACTGAGGACAAAAAGGCCATTTATTCTTGACAAAAAGTGCTATCCCTGATGGCATGATTCTCAATGTGGGGGGAGGGAGTGGTGACTGTGACTCCTTGCGGGGCATTAGGCAACATCTGGAGACTTTTTTGGCTGTTACAACTAAGGGAGGAGAGGTGCTCCTGGCATCTGGTGGGTGGAACCCAGGGATGCTGCTCAACATCCAACAGTGCCCAGGATGGCCCCACCACAGAGAAACATGCAGCCCCAAATACTGAGTGTTGCGGTGGAGAAGCCCTGCCCAGGTGCTATCGCGAGTGTGCAAAATCTCTGCAGATGACCATCCATTATATGGGAGGGCAACGCTTCAGAAGCAGAGCGCAAATGAGATGCCCACAGCATTTAGGCCTAGATTCTGGGTCCACCTGTCCATGGGATTTAATAAAATAAGCACTTGCTGCAACCTGAAACGACTCCTTGGGTTCAGAGTTAGACTAACTAGAGCCGGGACACAATTGACATCATTTTGTTTTGATTCACGTTTTTTTGACCATCCTTTGATTCTCTGATTTCCATTTACCATGAAAAACTTTCCATACACGTTTAAAAATATAGCAGGAGGTTCTTTCCTTGTGAAGCATGCCAAATATTCAAATCAGGTGAACCTCAATACACCTTGGGGTTGTATCTGGATGTGCAAACACATGTTTATATGCTCTGAACCTGAATTACTTCAGAAATGAGGAAGAACTGAAAGGCTCAGGTTTCAGCTGAAGAATAACTAAATGAAACATCACTCCAGATGATTTCTCATTACAAGACAATATTCAAAATAAAAAAACCAATACAACCTATGTAAAGAACTAGCTGCATCACCACCTCAGGCACTCTTGGCCCTTGATTCTGGCCATGGGGTGGGCAATGGTGACCGATGGGTCCAGATGCTCCCACACCCCCTTCCTCCTTCGTATGTTCACACCCAAACGAACAAGCACATGACAAAACATAGTAACTGTCCAAGGTAGTAACAACATGTCCTCATTTAAACTCCATGGGCACACTGTCTCTTTTTTCCCTTGGAGACAGAGTCTCGCTCTGTCATTCAGGCTGGAGTGCAGGGGCACAGTCATGGCTCACTGCAGCCTCAAACTCCTGGATCAAACTGATCTTCCTGCCTTAGCCTCCTGAGTAGCTGGGATTACAAGCATGTGCCACTGCACCTGGCTAATTTTTTTTTTTTTTTGTAGAGAGAGGGTCTCATTATATTGGCCAGGCAGGTCTAGAACTTCTGGCCTCAGGCAACCCTCCCGCCTTGGCCTCCCAAAGTGCTGGGATTACAGATGTGAGCTACCGCCCCTGGCGTGTCTCACTTTTTAATGATTAGAAACCATTGTGATGAATGCGACGGTTTTTCATTAGCCCCTAGAGTGCTAGAATCTGGAGTACCAAGGAAAGGAAACGAAGGCTTCTCAACAGATGAGAGGTCGAAGGCAATGAGCACAGAAAAACAGAGTCACAGCCGCCTTGAGATCCAAGGGCTGGCTGGACCTTGGAGACAAGTCCTCTTAGACACACACGTGTGTGTGTGTTTTGCAGTGAAGACACTAGACAGGGCCAGAAGGAGTCAGCGGAAGATCCCGGGTACCCAGTGTGAAGGGGTTTGCCAGGGAAAAAGGAGCACAAGAGAGGAAGAAACACCGGAATTTCTAAAGCCACAGCTTTGCGAAAAATGGCAGGCAAAAGTGCAAGAAAGAAAACAGGGACTGTGTACAGTGGCTCCCGCCTGTACTCCCAGCACTTTGGGAGGCCAAGGCGGGAGGATCGCTTGAACCCAGGAGTTCAAGACCAGCAAGACCTCATCTCTACAAAAAATAAAATTATCTGGATGTGGTGGTGTGTGCCTATAAGTCCCAGCTGCTCAGGAGGCTAAGGCAGGAGGATCTTTTGAGCCAGGAGGTTGAGGCTGCAGTGAGCTATAACCGGACCACTGTACGGCCACCTGGGTGACAGAGAGAGACCCTGTCTCAAAAAAAAAAAAAAAAAAAAAAAAGGAAAAGAAAAAGAAAACAGGATATATTACTTTGTGATTTTCTAAAAGAGTTATTTAAAAGGTAAAGAGAAACCAGTGTAACCTGCTGTGAAGGAGAAGGGTTTGTAAGGGCAAGACCAGTTCCCAGAAAGATGGGACAAAGGGAATCCTGGAAGAACGTGACTGCCAGGTGGGATGGATCACAGTACTTATGGAAAATTCAATAGAATCATGCGCCTGGGTCAGAGTAGGAGAAAGGGGGCAGAGGGAGGAAGCTGCAGGGGATTAAGAAATCAGGAACCGGGACTGTCTGTGGTCCCAGTGCTTTGGGAGGCTGAGGCAGGAGGATCACTTGAGCCCAGGAGGTTGAGGCTGCAGTAAGCCATGATTGTGCCACTGCACCCTAGCCTGGGCAACAGTGTGAGACTCGGTCTCTAAAAATAAAATAGGGACTCAGGTGAAGGTGGCAAGAAAGTTTGTGGATCCCATTATTCCCCAGAAGTCATGAGGATCTTCACTGTAGAATCATGAGACCAGAATAGGAGGGGACAAGAGAGGGTGAGGTGTGTGGTTTAAAACCAAAACTGGTATAAAAGTGGCACAACTGCTCACTGTGGACTAATCTAAAAAGTGGGAGGGGTTCCAAGCCAAGTGCACAATTTTAATGTGCGTTTATTTTTCCATCCTCCTACCCCATCTGCTCTACAACGAGCCCAGTAATGAAAGCATCCCTTGAGATCCTTGTTAACACAAGAGCCATCACCTCTCTGCCCTGACGCAGCCTCTGGTGATGCCCTCTGTTGGGTTCCACTGAAATACAGATTCCACCTGACCATGTGTGGGGCCCCTCTCTAACCAACCTGCTCCAGGAAATCAAGGAGAGCAAGTCTGTGTCAGTGCAAGGCAAACGTCCACTCTGAAGCCCAGAGCAGCTGAAGATCTGCGGCATCTTTTTTGGATGTGGCAGTGTAAGTGTTTACATCAGTTAACAGCCAGTGATTCTACATTTAAGTCAAAAACACGGAGCCATGTGGGAGGGGCACTGGAAGCTTGCTGCTGTGTATCCACACAACCGGTATGAACACAAGGTGGGAAAAAACCCAACTTCCTTTCTTCTTCTTCTTTATCTCTAAAATTAATTTTAGAGATAGAGTCTCACTGTGTTGCCCAGGCTGGAGTGTACTGGCGCAATTATGGCTCACTGCAGCCTCAACCTCTCAGGTTTGAGTGATCTGATCCTCTCACCTCAGCCTCCCGAGCTGGGGCTACAGGTGCATACAATCACACCAGGCTAATTTTTAAATTTTTTTTTGTAGAAATGCTGTTTCACCATGTTGTCCAGGCTGGTCTCAAACTCCTGGGATCAAGCAGACTTCCTGCCTCGGCCTCCCAAAGTCCTGGGATTACAGGAAAGAGCCACTGCACCCTGCCGCGGAATTAATCCCAAATGCCTGAGGGAAATGCATGTTAGCTTCCAATGTGTTCCAAGCTCTTGTAGCTTCCCAGGGCTCTGCTGTTTGGGGGCCGGGCCCAGCAGCTACGTACCTCGTTGATACTGATCTCGGCCTCTACATACTGCAGGCCCTTCTGGAGAATGGAGATGAGGGCGGCCGGTGGCACCAGCGTCCCATTGATGTTGGACTGGCTGATGTGGCTCTCAATCCCAAATGTGAAAGCCGAGTGGGAAAAACCTGCAGCAAGAGGGGAAAGCCGAGGTTGAGTGAGACCCGAATTGAAGGAGGGAGGTGCAGCCATTGAGATCTGAAGGTGGCCTGCGGACTTCAAACACACTTAATTTGCAGGGACAGACACGGCTGTAGAATGCCCAGGAATGCTTCTGATTCGGGTTCAGTAAGGTGGGAAAGGGCAGGGAGAGAGGGAGGGACTTCAGACCCAGGAAGACCAGGACTGGTATGTGATGAAACAAGGACCTTTAATGGTAAAACCGTTTCAGTGTTATTAAGAACAAAGCAGAACAGACAATAGTTTGCCCTGCATGCCCCAGTTGGACATTTCTGTTACTGAAATTTGGCTCCAGGCTCCCCCCAAACTCCGTGGTTCATAAGACTCTGCAGAAGTTCACACTGAAGCCTCTCTGTGTCACCCCCTGAAAGCACACAGGGTACCTTTCTTCAGCCCAAGATGAGGGAAGAGCAAACGCTGACCCTGAGTGCTCCCGGCACACGGGGCAAGTGTATCACAACCCAACAACTGAAGACGGAGAAGAGGCCGTTCTGGACCGACTGGTGTGGCACCGAGTCATTTTCTCAAAACACTGGGAATTTTCTCTTTGCTAATAGATGCTGGCTCTTTTCCTCTCCTCCCCCAGTGCATCTCTTTCATTGCCGCTCTAGGAAGCTGCTGATCAATGATGCTTGGCAATTTAAAGGTGTTTTCAGATCAGCTTTGGATGAAGGCTCTTGGATGAAGCTGTTGGGAAGAGGGTCAGGACTGAATACACAGAAAGCCACGTCTTGCTCTTGCGGATGACGCCTGCTTCAAGGAAAGAAGGCAATGATGCTGGGCGTCTATGTGAAGGTCTGGGGATGATGAGGAAGCTGCGACAGCCCTTCATCAAGGAGAGAGAGGGAGGTAGCATCCTACTGCCAGCAAGCCTAGGCTGCTGCAGGGAGCTTCCTAAAGCAGGCAACCCCGCCCGGCAGGGCTGGGTCACTTTGATTGGTGCAGAGGCGGCCTGGGGGTGCACAGCAGCTTGAAATCCTTGGGAGGTGGAGGTCATGGGGGGATCTTGTGTGAGGAACATGAACCCCCAGTGCTCGGCTCCCTGGCAACAGGTGGGGTGGACACCAAGGCATTCCCATGGTGTGGCTTTCAACTCCCACACTGTTTACCTCTTCCATGGATGAGGCAAATGAGCAGGAAGCAGGGAGTTCGGAACGCAGCCACTCTGCCTCGCTGGTTAGGCCACTCTGCAGGCTGAGAATCTGCTTAGCCCAGGAGGCAGGACTGTCGGCCTTGCTGGACAAGTGCTCCTCTTCCGCCGTTTTTCATTCAGCCAATGGGGGGCATTGGCAGCCGGCTTCCCTCTGCTTCCATATCAGTGCCCTTCTGCCTCTCCTTATCCAAATGCAAACTGACCTTGCAATAAACAAATCGCTCACCAGATGGGAATGTTCCTCCAGGAGAGGAACTCTGCGCTGTGCTCTCCTTGCTGCTTTCTGATACTTCACTTTTCTGTGTCTACTCTCCCTCCTCCTCAATCCACCCTCTGTTCTGTCCCCATCGCCAGGTTGTAAAGAATATATCAAATGTGTAGTTGAGATTTATCTAACAGGTAATAGGGTAGCTGCTATTCATTTTACAATCAATTGCACAGAGCCTTGCATATTTTTTTACAAAACTATAACCGCCTACATTAGGTTGCAAAGGAGCCCTTTCCAGTTTCCCCTATCCCCAGGGGTTCCTCCATCCCTGTATTTTTGGAGGATATAAGCCAAGGCTGTTTACAACAACCTTACCTTTTCCTTTCACTTGTTTTCTCTCTCTCTATCCACCTTCCTTTTCCCCGACACACTCCTACCAAAATGAAACAACCTACCCTTGGATTCACCAACGTCTCTATTCTCCGCCATGCTATACAGAGTTTTACCTGCAAGCTTTTATCACTGAGGTCTTTGGCAAAGTGTGGAAGGGAAAAACCCCAGTCAATGGATAAAGCAGGACCTCACTGCATTCTTGGCTTGACGATCCACTACATGGAATCTTCCTTATCTATTCTGGGCCACAGTGATTCCTCTCTCATAGACATCATGACTCTCATGGCTGATGGGGGCCACTCACGTGGCTCCTACTCAATGGCTTTAAGCCTCTCAGCATCATTCTGTCACTGCCCCTTTCCCCTTGATGAATCAGGTCTCTGAGATCTTTTGAGGGTAACTGACAGGCTCCTGTTGCTCAGTTTGTAGGGGTGGGGCTGAGATCTAAGCCTGGGCAGGCAGAAACCACTCTTAGCCACCATGAAACAGTGTCTAGAAACATCTACTGAATGCACCAGAATGCAGCATTAGGTGCTGACGGCTCCTGACAAGCAAACCTCATGGCTGATGGAGCAATTGTGGAAGGAAAGTCTCACGCTCCTGGGATATTTCACTCATCCACTCTAACTCATTCATTCCTGCAAGCAGCACTGGGCCACAGAACTGATACCTGCAGTCACATGCTCTGTGAAACAGCCGATTCTCACCACATTACCATCTTCAACCAAACCTGGGCGCTCTGTCCACTACCTCAGTCTTTGTAGCAGCTCTTTGGAGTTGGTACTGTTTTTCTTTCACACACAAGGACAAACACTGGAGACATCAGGTAACCCGCCCAAGGATCATGTGATATGACGCCGAACTAAACTGTGAACTGTAGACTATGTGACTCCGAGATTCTGCTTTTTACTTTACACTCCAAGACCCACCCACAGCCACAGAAACCAAAATTATTGAATTCCCTGCATGGACACAGACTCCATTTCCACCTGGCTGTTCAGCTAGACCACTGGCAGCTCTGAACAGCAGCCAACTTGGGTGCAGCTCAGGCAACTCACAAAGAACAGTATGCAAAGCTCAGTCTAACCCACGGCGAGAGCGTGCCTTTGATTTCTCTCTCATCTGGGTTTTTAATGTTCAGTACATGATTTGGCTGCATAACTTTCTCTCTCTACATGTTTATGCTCTCCAACATAGATTTCATTTCTAGATCATATGGAGAATAGTATTCACATTCAATTAAGTCTTCTTGGAACAAAGAGATGAACCAGTAAAGATGGACGAAGGGTGTGGCGCCTGAAAGTTCTGCAAAGAGTTGAAAGTCGTCTGCTGAAAGGAATATCCTATGCAGATGCGCAATGACAAATACGCAGGATAAAGTTCTACAGGGGACTTTGAAGGTCTTTCATCAGCTTGGGCCCTCTTTTGGAAAGGGTAGGTTGTCATGACTGGAAATTAGGCACCTTCATAAAGACCTGGGAGATGTGCATTCCATGCCATGGTTAACAGAAGTCCTCCTATTTGCTGAAATTTTCACTAGCTGCATTTCTTTGAATGGATCTCTACATGGCCTCTAGAGCAATGGTTTTCAGTCCATTTGCTTGCAAGATTTTCTTACTGATTTCTGGCCATGTGGTCTCATGAAGGCAAGCAGGAGGGCTGGATGGAGAAAATGTCAGCAGCAGGCAGGATGGCTGGGTTCTGTCCCCGTTCTGCCACTGGGTGCCTGGCCCACGTTGCTTCATTTGGCTGGGCTTGCCATTTCCTCTTCTGTGGTGTAGGGATAAAATGCACCTTGAGGTGCTGATAAGACACATAGATGGGACAGCAGCCAGACTCCCCACACATTTGATGGAGAGAAGACCACAGTGAGTGGAAAGGTTGCTGTCCCAGCTTTCCTTGTTGGAACAATAAGGATGTCAGATGAAATGGCCACTAGGATTATTTGCTAGTTCTGATATTCATTCTGGGACAGGAAGATGCCTGCTACATTCTGAATGTTTGTGTCTCCCCTAGATTTGTATGTGGGAGACAAATCCCCAACGTGACAGTATTAAGAGGTGGGGCCTTCAGGAAGCAATTAAATCATGAGGGCTCCACCCTCGTGAATGGGATCAGTGCCCCTATAAAAGAGCCTCAAGCAAGCTTCCTTGCCCCTTCCACCATGTGAAGACACAGAAGGAGCCATCCATGAGAAACAGGACCTCACTGGACACCAAATCTGCTGGCGTCTTGATCTTGGACTTCCCAGCCTCCAGAACTGTGAGCAATACACTTTGGTTGTGTATAAATTACCCAGACTAAAGTATTGGTTACAGCCCATACAAACTAAGACAATGCCCAAGGACTATGTAATAGAGGCTGCTTGACCACTTCCTCTTAGGCCACAGTTGCTGGAACCAGGTACCAGGGTACTGCTGAAGGTAATGCCTGCTTCCACGCCTGCCAGCATCTCACCCCTCACACTTGGACTCCTGGGCTAATGGGCGCATTCATTTGCAGTCTACCAGAGTGGTGAGACTTCAGTGCCTTGTGCCTCCTCTGCTTTCCCGCATCTCTGAACACATCTCTTCTGCCCAACAAGACATCCATAGGAACAAAGACCAGAATGTCAATGACAAACAAAGCACTAAGGACTGCCCCTGCGGCAGATGCAGAAGTAGTTAAAGGGCAGGAGAATAAAGGGCTTGGTGGTACCTTGATGAAAGATCATGTGAGGGTGATGGGTTAGTGTCCTTGGTGTCACCAGTAGGCTAGCCTAGAGACATTCCTAAAGACACTAGGCTTGGCACCTACTTAGGAGGCGTATCCCTGATGAATCTCTTGACAGCAGGGTTTCTCAACCACAGCATGGCTGACTTTGAGGCTGGCTCATTCTTTGCTGTGGCAGACACAGTCCCATGCATTGTACGATGTTGAGCAGCACCCCCGCCTCTACCCACTAGATGCCAATAGCACACTCCCATTGTAACAACCAAAAATGTTTCCAGATATTGTCCCATCAATGCCACCATGGTTGGGGAATTGACACCCTGAGAGGCCACTACCCCCAGCTCTACTCTCCTTACATTTCTGCTTGGTTCTTGCTTGTTGCTATTGAAAAGCAAGCCGCCCTCTGCATGCAATTGGTCATAGACCTTAGATAACACACAGTAACAGAGCATAATCAGATGAGATAAAATTACTCCCAGGGA